GTTTGACCCTTCTCAGTTTATTTTTTCCGGCTGGACATCCCAGAGTTGCTGCCACTTTTTCAATAATCTGTCCTTGATGACTTGATGACTTTATGGATGTCACTAAAGGGACGAGGCGATGTGTCAGATGAATTGCAGATTTAGCTGTAAGCGTCTGCCAGCTCATTCCCTTTTATACCCTACGTGTCCTGGAACCCAACAGTACAGGATGCAGTACCCACGGTTTTATTTAAGATTAAGGATTAAAATGTCAACCACGATGGGGTTTTGAGTATTGTAATATAAATTTAAGGATTTCAAAACACTAAGTGAGTCTGTATATATAATGAAATTTCTTTGATGTAGCTTTGAAATAAAAGAAAGCGCATAATAAACAGCATTTAATTCTGAGGTAAAAACGGAGCAGGCATCATGAAGTCTTCTACCCTCCATGTGGTCTTCAGTAACAAAGGAGGCACCAACATGTTCTACTGATTTTGACCCGTCCGTGTATACAGGAATGTAACTAGAGTATTTGTGCCTGTGGTCAGAAAAAAGTTGTTTGTACACAAACTCATTAGTGTCTTTCTTGCCTAAATGTTGGAAAATATCTAGAAACCGAATCTGAACGTCCTCCCAAGGTGGGATTTCAAAATACTTTGCTGGCTGAGTAGTGAGATCTCTCATGTGGTATTTCTCGAGTAGTGAGTTAACCCTAAGTGAGAAGTAAGGCACATGGGATGGTCTGGCCTGAAACAAGAACTTGTAACTGTCATCAATGTTAGAAACATTGTTTGGGTGATCAGGAAGTGACAACACATTGAAATGATAGCAGAGTGACAATTGCTCACGCCTTAAATGCAGCGACGGTTCGTGGCAGTCCACATAAAGACTTTGGACAGGAGATGTTCTAAATGCACCAGAAGAAATACGCAGGGCCTGATGATGAACGGATCTAATTTTACTAAAATGGAAGGCCTTGCAGACCCTAGACAACTGAGCCGTAATCTAGTTTGGAGCGTATAAGTGCTCTATAAATCCGGAGTAACGAAATACCGTCTGCACCCCAAGGTGTTCGCCAGGACTTTCAAAGGTTCAGTCTCCTAAAACATTTCTTCCTTAGATACAGCATGTGTGGAAGGAAAGTTAATTTCCGGTCGAACATCACTCCTAAAAATTTTACTTCAGGTTCCACTGGAATTTGTGATTCTTCAAGAAACAGCTCAGGCTCAGGGTGGAGGTTGCGCTTCCTGCAAAAGTGTATGCATACTGTCTTCTGTTTAGAAAAACTAAAACCTTCTTTCTTTGACCATTCCTGGATCTTATTAAGAGCGATTTGCAATTGCCTCTCTACACTCACGTTTGTGAAAATTGCAACGCCATGAAGGACTTACGCGAGTGAGCTGAAATTTTCAGGAAATGCAAAGTAGCGCATGATATGCAAATGATTAGAATTGCAAATCCGTAGCGCATGCGTATGCTGAGCAGCGCCCTCTGAACGGCTGATGGATCCGAATAAATAGACGGCTGTAGCGTGTATGGTTATCGGTGGTTATCTGCTAGTGGTAAACGTTAACTCAATCTGTACTTATGCCTCGTCGACGAAAGAGAGCGAGATTTGAACAACTTACAGAGTTTGAACGAGGGAGAATCATCGGCCTTCGTGAAGCTGGATTTCGTATCGTGCAGTAGCCTCTCGTGTGCAGCGTAACAGCAGCACAGTGATGCGCGTTTTGGAAGCAGTGGACGGACGAGTGTCGGACAACTCGGAAATCCGGGAGTGGACCCCGAAATGTGACGTCAGCTCGCGATGATAGACACCTGGTCCGCATGGCGCGCGCGGACGGACCGTACAGCTTCCTCTATGACAATTGGCAACTGTGGTCAATAGCTACAGGTGTTTCATTGTGTGCTTCATCATTCGTAGACGTCTGCTGCAGTGTGGACTGCGCGCACGGACTCCTTTATACAGGATCCCCCTAACGCACGACCATCGCCGCCTGCGGCTACAATGGCCAATCAGCATAGAGACTGGCGTGCTGATTGGCAGCATGTCGTGTTTTCTGACGAATTCCGCTTTAATTTGTGGTACCATGATGGCCGCATTTGTGTCAGACGCTATGCCGGTGAACGCCACCTTCCGGAGTGCATTATCGAACACCCGGAGTTATGGTCTGGGGCGCCATAGCATATCATAGACGATCTCAATTGCTACGAATTGTGGGCAATTGAACAGCAACCGGTATATCCGTGAAGTTGTACAGCCCGAAGCTGTTCCCTTCCTTCAAAGCTTGCCAGGCGCTGTATTTCAACAGACAATGCCCGCCCTCATACTGCTCGGATTGTTAAATCCTTCTTTGCAGCGCAGCAGGTACAGCTTCTTCCTTGGCCTGCGTGTTCCCCGGATATGTCGCCAATTGAACATGTGTGGGATGTCATTGGTCGGCGTCTTGCTCGTGATCCTCGTCCTTTTGCGTCTGCAGACGAACTTTGGGTACGCGTACAAACGATATGGAATGCTCTCCTCAGTCAGACTTCAAACTTTGTTTGACTCCATGCCACGTCGTGTAGCAGCACTTATTGCGGCGCGTGGTGGCCACACAAAATTGATTCTGATCTCTTGTTCTTGTTTGTTTGCTTTGAACATTTAATCATTTATTTGTACCACTCTCAACGTATAAATTGCATTCAATTATGACGATTCCCTTGGTGTTGCAATTTTCACAACGTGATATAATCTCATGTCTGCACCTTGACAGCAAATGTGAAGATCGTCAACATATAAGGAACCTACAACCGTAGGAGGAAGTTCTTTTAGAACAGAGTTGATTTTTAAGATGAACAAAGTAACGCTTAGTACACAGCCTTGAGGCACACCCTCTTGTTGAGAGAATACATCTGATACAGCAGAACCAATCCTAACTTGAAACGTTCTACCCTTCAAAAAGTTTTGCAGAAATATTGGCAGGTTGCCGCGTAATCCAGCGGTGTGAAGATCAAGCAAAATCCCATGCCTCCATGCTTTGTCGTACGCCTTTTCTATGTCAAAAAACACAGAGACTAGGTGGTTTCTATTGACAAAGGCTTTACGAATTGAGGTTTCCAAAAGGAGCATATTATCAACAGTCGTTCTGCCTTTACGAAAACCACTTTGATATTTGGATATTATATTGTTCTTTTCTAAATAATAGACCAAGCGGCAGTTTACCATTTTTTCGAAAAGCTTGCAAACGCAACTGGTAAGGGCGATGGGCCTGTAGTTGGTGGGATTCTTTGGATCTTTCCCTGGCTTAGGTATCGGAATGACTACTGCTATCTTCCATGCATTGGGAAAGTTATGCTCCTTCCACACCCGATTATACAAAGTGAGAAGGGCATTCAGTGACTTACAGGAAAGATGCTTCAGCATTTCGTAACTAATGCCATCTGGACCAGGGCAAGACTTATGTGTCTGTAATAAAGCTCTTCTTAATTCAAAATGGGAAAATTCACAATTGTAAGGCTCAGAGTTGGCAGAGTTGAACTTAATAGGAATATTTTCAGCTTGTAGCTTAGCAGACAGAAATGTTGGGGGATAACTGCAGCCATTAGAGATGGCTGCAAACGTTTCACCAAGGGTGTTTGCAATTTCTTCCGCTGTGCTGATCGTTCGGCCGTCTTTTTCCAGGATGGAAAGTGAGTGGTCTCGGTATATTCCACAAGCTTTTCTAACTCTTTCCCATACTCGCTTACTGGATGTTGAGGCTGTTATCCCAGACACATAAGATATCCAGGAATTCCTCTTACTCTCCCGTCGTACTTTCCGTGCGTTTGCTTTAGCTTTTTTGAAAGCAATAAGATTTTGAAGTGTGGGATATCTTCGAAAGTGTCCCCAGGCTTTTCTCTGCTGTCTTAGAGTTTTCTGGCATTCTTGATTCCACCAAGGTTTCGAGTATTTTGGAGGTTTTGCTGAGGTCAGAGGTATAGAGGCTGTAGCCGCTTGGATTATAATGTCAGTTATGGCTTTCACTGCATCGTCGACCGGCACATCGTTCACTACTTCATCCGTGAGCTCTGCAAGAGAGGAGAAAAGCTCCCAGTCTGCCCTTTCAAATATAAAGTTTTGGGGCCTTACGACGGGACTCATTCCTGCCCTAGCAAAAGTAACAAATATCGGGAAGTGGTCACTGTTGTGAGGATCATCTCCAACACTAAAAGTACAGAAGGGCAAAAGAGAAGGTGAACAGATGGCAAGATCAAGAGCGTGAAATGTCCTTGTTGGCGCATGGAAGTAGGTATCCCCCGACCATTATTGAGAAGACAAAGGCAATGATCTTCTATCAATCTGCTCAATTTGTCTACCTCGAGGATTTGTATCTCTACTTCCCCATAACTGACTATGTCCGTTAAAATCCCCCATGATAATAAACGGCTCTGGCAGCTGTTCTATCAACTCATTTAGCTGTCTCTGATCGATAGCTTCATTAGGAGGTAGATATATGGAAATGACAGAGACTAATCCTTTAATATTAGCTTGTATAGCTACCGCTTGAAGGGATGTTGCTAACGGAAGGACAGTTGACGGATAGTCATGAGAGGTGAGAAGGCCTACACCCCCACAGACGCGTTCACTAACAACATTATCCTTTCTCGTAAATGAAAATCTCCTAAGTTTGGCTTTGCTATTAGCTTTGAGATGTGTCTCCTGTAAAGCGAAGCAAACTGGCCGATGTTCATCAATCATGTTCTTAACATTATAGAGACTCTGATAGAAACCACGACAGTTCCAGGAGATAAGGGTAGCCATTATGAGATTTTATTTCCCCGATGCTGCTTCTTTGTCAGACGAGGAAGCAGATTTCTCGGAAATTCAAGTCCGGCTTCAACTTCCATATCATCAAAGTTAGAGCTCAAACTTTCGAGTGAACTGTCAGTTCGACTCCTATGCTTAAGAATAGGAGTTTCGGATTGTTTCAGGAGATTTTGTTTACTTGATGATGCGGAATTGTTTTCTAAAGGCTTATCCTTGGTGTTTATTGTTTCTGTTACTATGTTTTGAGAGGCGCTAGTTTTTGTTAGTTTATTTCCTGCATTATACTCTATTACTGTTATTTTAGAGGTATTTTCCCGTTGGTTATTTATCTTTTGACATAGATTAGTTTGGATTCCTACTGTTTTGAATTTCTTTGCAGCCTCAGCATATGAAACATTTAAACGTGGATGTGTACTAGCTATTATTTTTCTAGCTTCTGCATATGTTAAGTTTTTAGTCACTTTCAAGTACTGTACTTCCTTCTCAGCTTTCCATTTAGGACATGAGCGAGAGAATGCTGTGTGCTCCCCCTTACAATTGACACACAGTGGCACAGCTTTACAACTATCACTGTCATGGCCCTCCACGGAGCAGCGAGCACACGTGGGTTTGCCTCGACAAGACATTTTTGAGTGGCCAAAGCGCTGACACTGGAAACATCGCATGGGGTTTGGGATGTAGGGTCTTACTGGGCAATGAAGATACCCGGCCCTTACACTTTTTGGCAACTCAGGTGTGTTGAAGGTTAGGATAACGTTTTTAGTATCTATCAACTTACCCTCTCTGCGCACCTTGATTCGCCTTGCAGCACAGACATTTTGATGGGAGAGTTCACTCACGAATTCTTCTTCTGAAACGCAGAGAAGATCGAATTCTGATATTACTCCACGGCTATAATTTAAAGATTTGTGAGGTGATACTGTTACACTTACATTTCCTAATTTGTTTAAACTGAGAAGGGTTGCAGATTGGCTGGAAGATAAAGTTTCGACTAGAAGATCACCTGAGCGAAGTCTTTTGATATTTTTAGGTTCTCCGGCACATGACTTGATAAGTTTTTGTATTAAAAAAGGTGACATTTTTTGAATTTCATCTGTTGTGTTATTTATAACAAGAAATCGAGGTATCGATTTTCTTTCATCCTCATTAGCATTTGCACATGTTTTCATTTTTTTTTTGTAGAATTTGCATTTTGTTCTGGTACACAGGGTTCACTTAAGGAGTTCATAGTGAGATAAAATAAGATTCGGACCCGGCAGCCCCACCCACCACGGAGCCCAACAAGGGGACGCAGAGATCTGCGCCAGGGTTAACCGGGTCTATACGCAATCTGAAGCCCCCACAGTCAGCTCTCCCGAAAGCAGGAACTCCCGAAAGCTTATCCCCAAGCCACTGACCCTAAGGACGAGTGACCAGCCGATTGACACTAGTGGGGACAACTAAGTGCCTCCCGTTTCAATCTGAAGCAGAGGCCAAAGCAGTGTGTTGGGAACAGTACCTCGCCCCTCAACTACCAGGACCCTCCTTTCCAGCCTTACGGGTCACAACGCACGGCAAACACGTAGGTGGAAAAACCACAAGGGAGAAGGAAAAGGAAAAGGAAAAAGGTAGCAGACGAGAGGAGAGGAAACAGAAAAGAGGATAGATCACTGGGGCTCCAGGATCGTGACACCCGTCTCACCAAGAAGATGATCCCTTGAAGGGCTAGGGTGCCTCGGGATTGCCACACCCGTACTCACAAGAGTGAGCCCCTGAGGGGTTCAAACCTCTGATAACTTCATCGGAAGTATCAGCTAATTGACGTAAATTAACATTATCAACCTGTAATTAATAAACCTGTAACCGCAAATTAACATTATCAACCTGTGAAATACATTTTTGATCCAGAAATGTTTTAATTAACGATTGTACAATTTGTTTCTATTTTTATCGTACCTAGCGAGCAATTTTGCCCATGCTTCTTCATAGAATTTTTGATAACGGAATATGTTTAATTACAGAAGCTGGTTCATCAGCAAGTGATCCGATTAAATACTGAAATTTCTGTATATTCGATAAAGAAGTATTATGCACTGTTGCAACAAACAAATCTTTAAAATTCATCCAGTCATTAAAGTTACCCGCAAAAATAGGAATATTCAACTTAGGTAACTTAAAGTTACTAATATTAGAATTCCCTGGAACATTTTTGGCACATTAGCCACATTCAATACATCTAATAAATTTTGATACTGAAGTTTCAAACTAAAATACTTCGATCCAAAATCTTCAATTTCTGACTGCTCTTCTGGTAATTGGGCATCAAATTTATCAAAATCTGAATAAATCCTTTCCAAGCGCTCCAGATGCAAAATTATTTCATTTTTACATAAATCGGAAGAAAAAGTATTCTGAAGCCTTGTGAAGGCCGCTTTTGCCCTACCACGCAATCTAATGACAGTAGCTTGATCCATAATAAGTAATCGAGGTATTCAAGTTCAAAATGAAAATCAATACAAAATTAATATAAAACTTCAAGAATCAAATTCAGATGTAAATCGAAATAAAAAGCACTTATCTGTACTGGAACTGTTGACGAATTCTCTATCTGGCCGCTGCATCTAAAAATTGGTTTACGTTCCTGTGTTAGAATGGCGCCGACATGGATGACGCAGTTTCGACTTTAAATATACTTAATAAATTCAACGACTCTTGATCTATTTAAATCAAACTGAATACATGTAATAATATAACATTCACACGTAAACATTTAGTAATAATTCAGGAGTACAGATAAGCATAAAATAGGAATTACAACCGTTACAGGCCAGCAACGCTTTTAGCGACCGAATTCTACGAACGACAAATCTCAAAAGCGTGTTGCCAACGCAGGGCAAGGAAAAGGTAGAAATTAATTCGATAGGCGTGGAAGTGAACAGTACCTATGAGGGTTTACTTGATTTGGTAAAAGTTAAATAGTCCAAAATCTCCAACAGACGTGAAGCATGTTATTGTTATGTCTGAAAGTAATTACAATATCAGACAAAGGTTTAAATAAGCCTCTTATTTAAAAAGAACTTAGAACATAAAGTCATGTTCTGATGTTAACAAAATTAATTACAGCTCACAGTGACATAATTAAACAAGAATAGTCAAATTCAAACTAATAATGTGGACTAGTGGTCAAAGATTACACCATTTAATTTTAATTTAATCTGGCTCAGTAACTCTATCATATGAGGAAATTATAGTAAAGGTTCAAATCATAAACAATTGGGTAATTTACATAATAATAAAAGAATAATTTTCTTTATGGACTCAGTTTCTTTCTTCAACATGTTTCCTTTTCATTTTAGAATTTTGGGATTTAATTAAGGATTTCTGTTATTCTAAAAAACACTAAATGCATTTAGAATGTATAGAAAAAGCAGCTAATTTTATTTCTTTAGTAATATGAACGTTTAGACAAAATATGAAATATATATGATAAAGGATGGTTACAGAGCTGATGTGGCAGAATGTTTAGAATTTAGTGACACACCGAACAACAAAATCTAGAAATCGCAAAACTTTTAGAATTTAGAGCAGGCATTGAAAGCAAAATTTAAAAAGGCACTACGCAGCAGAATTTAGGATCCACAGAGATTGCATCAGGTAAGAAAATGCCTAGTGCCAGATGTGTGTATGATGCATTAAGACATATTAGATGAATCTTTTAAATTGTAAGTTTTTAATTTCTTTTATCTTCTTTAAAAAAATCCCTTTCTATAATGCCTGCCCATGTGATAAGATTAGAAGCATTTTTGATATTTTCCATGCTTTAGTGAAAAGTAGAGAAAGTAAAAGGAAGATAAACATGTTAAGATTCTAGTATCAGAAGTAAAACATTCAAATATTATGTTTTCATTGTTCTTACAGAAGTTCTCCAAAAAGTCAGAAATTCATTCCAAACTTTCTGTAAAATACATCCATTATGTGTTGATACCACAGAGACCTTTTTCATTTTGCCACATATTTCTGGAATCTTCTAGAACTGTGGATCTATAAATCTTGCCTCAAATCCCTCTAAACCTTCCAAGCCGCAATGTCAAAAATCCTAAAGAAAAATTATCCCTACCAATTCTGTAACAGCAAAAAGCCAGAAATATTTTTGAAAAAGAAAATGAGGGAAAAAGGGGTAAAATTTATTTTTATAGAGAAAACTGATGCATGTTCTGAGATATTTACATGGGAAAAACTCTATGAAAAAATTAAAAAGACATTTTTAATTAATTACATAGATAATTTTGCTTTTGCTAAGAGCGGTTTCATAAACTGTGCTTTGGAGCATTATACCTTGTTTATTTTTCAGATTCCAAATATTGCATAATAAGTTGCCAAATGAAACTTTATAATATGACAGTGAAAAATAAATTTTTTTTATTTTAATATTTTTAAATTTAATTTCAATATATTACCATTATTTTAATAAAATTTATCAATGTTACGATGTTTAAAAAATATCGTCGAAAAATTCTCAGATCTCGGAGTTAAAAATTTTCTACAGATCTTAAAATCGCCAAAATGTTGATATGTCGCCAAATTTAGAACCGTTTAATAAAAGAATTCACATCCCCAAAAGCGAAAAGTTGCTTAAAAGTGCTTCATTAGAAAAAATGAATTTCGAAATGCTTATGTTTCACTTCTCGCTTAGAAACTCGATTATCCCATCATTTATATTAGAAATAGAAACAAATTATAACCCATGAACCCATTCAAAAAATAACCATATATGTCAGTGAATCCTCAAAAATATTCCTCCAAAATGCTAATTCACACTCAAAATGGCAGTTGTAAAAACAGACGGAAATTTCAGATAATTAAAATTAAGGACCTTCTGCTGAGTTTGGCCAAAATTAAGGACTTTTAAGGACCAGAAATCAATTCCAAAAATTTAAGGCCTCTTAAGGACCTTACGAACCCTGTTTTAGTTGTATAGTGCCCTTGGTCACTTAATTAAAGGTATAGAATACTGCTATGAATGCCAGAGGTAGTCCTTATTAAGAAAAGTTTCATTTGTTAGCATAGCAGTTCTTAACATATGATATGGATCACAGATACATAAACGATTACAAGCAGACCTAAATATATAATTTGTTTCTGTAATTTTTTAGTGATGAATTATAACAGAAATGCTTACCATCACATGAAATTTTCAGTCAGTTAAAGCATTCTAATTATGTCAAATTTAAAGCAGATGCTGAGTTTTTAAAGGAAGCATTTTCTTCTTAAGCAAAGACATACAAATTTCCCCATGTGACATTCATAAGGAAATTTTTTAAGTGCAATATTATTCAATTACTAATAAATAGTACATTACTATATTCTCAAAAGATAATCATGGCTACTAGAACTAAATGATGGCCTATCAAAATATCAGACAATTGCTCTGCAAAATTCCAGTCATTTTCCTCACCATACTAGATATAGCACTACAGAGCAGAATTTGGCTCCATTCTGTCACTAATAAAGAATGATATGATACTACATTCATCCCACTAATTAGTATACGACTCTTAAAAATATAACTGGCATATATTGTGAAAGCCACAGATATACTTGCAATAACTATCAGCTTTCATATCCTCAAGATTTCAGCTCAATTATGTTAATCCTGAATCTGACTGCCAAAAATGTTTTATTTCCACTAATGAAAAATGACTGAGAAAATACTCATTATATATATATATATATTTTTTTATTTTGTCATTTCTACCAATTCTTCATATTATTCATGCAAACCTTATTTACTTAGTTTGATGTGAAAGGTTACATTCCAGTACTTATATACAACTTGTACTATATAAATATACCTTAAAAAATTCACTTTTCTACATATTTTTAATAAGGCAATCTCTGCTATAAAATAATAAAAAAACCTCTATTTATACAAGTTCCTTGCACTGCAAAAAAAAAAAAAAAAACATACACCTAACTGAACATTACAAATTTTTAAATTAATTAAAAATTTCAAAATCTGGAACTTCTTTTTGTTTTTCATATTTTGTGCAAACTTAATGAATTTCCAATTAACAAAACTGGCAATTAAAAAGCAATGTGTTGCCCACTTTGCAAAACATAAGATATT